CTAGTAGATGTAACTGGTCCAAACTTGACAGGCCTGAAATAAGGACGACGATATAAATTTATATGAAATAATACTCGACAAATTGAGAAACAGCTGGTTCTGCGATGAAAATAACACACAAGCGGCAACATGTCAATGAAAAAAATAAGGTCGCATATACGAAAACTAGGCTTTGTGCGGTGAACGTGCCAGCGTTCATGAGCTAAACCACTTCACTCGTGTAGCATCAGAAGTTTCATGGAAAACGAGAGGGCAGCACTATCGCAAAACTGCATGACAGGCAGCGCCAATATGAAACTGCGTCAGCTGGGTAGGCATAATCAAATTGAACATTTCATAGAAACCACCCTGAAGCTGCCGCCCCAGCAACCCGTAGGGAGCAATGATCTGCTGCTGTAACAAAAGCACTTCTGAACTAAACATGAAAAACCACTACGAACAAAACGCACCTGGCAAATGCACGTGAGTCAGGATGGAAGAGAGAAGACGCGCGTGTGACGATGTGAAGCCATCGGTGGAAACTTTGGGTTTTGAGTTGTTCTCGAGGTCGAGTTTCAAAATCAGTCCATCGGGAGAGTCTCGATACTTAACGGCCGTGCTGTTGTCATTTAGCCGATTCAGTAGATCCTGAAAAGTAATATCGAAACGCAAAAACGAAAAACAGACGAATAAACGACAGGCACTTCGCAGCAACGTCATATCACAACGAATACGCACAATCCATAAAGTATATAATAACATTCATCAACTAAGGTATTGCACTGTTGACTTCTACTATCGACGATCTCTTTTCGGCCTTAAAATCAACAGATGCAGGAACAGGTACAGCAAACTACCTGTTACACACATACGAATTCATCAGAGTAAATTAGCATAAAATATTTTTCTAATGAACTCCGGTCACAAGTCGTGCACAGTTGATTAAAATTCGACGTACATAACGACGGCTATTAAATGCCAGTTGACTCAGCTGGTCATCACCAATACGACGCGTTCGGTATCAAAACATTCTGGTCAGGAATGTATAAATTCTTAGGGTCTTCTGCTTGGTCCGTCTTGGAAAAGCTTATTAAGGAAGACCAGCAGAATAGTCGGCACGATACAGTGTTTAATCATCTTACACTGATCGAAGACATGCGATCATACTCTGAAAAAGCTTATATTTGTGTAGGTACACTTCGAACTGAATTTCGCCTCAGTCGATTAAATACTACTGTTATAACACGTCTCACGAAGGACGAATCTTAAGTGCATTTTAGCATTCAATAACATGCTGCTATCTCGAATAGCATGAGAACTTCAAAAGACACAAAGTAGTCATATGGAATCAGTAAGGTTGTATCGTAAATAATAAAACTTAACTAATAAAACGGCAAAAGTCATTACCTCAGAACCAGAATCAGGCGTGTCCTTGGACGACTCGTTGTACGACCTGCTCATGGACAGGGCCGGGTCGACATCCGCTGAGAATAAAACGTACAAAGGCAATGGCGAAATCGCATCAATGTCCACGTACTCGGTTTCCGCTTCTTCGGAGAGCGCGCTAATGTCCACAGGTAAAGCCGTGTACGCTGCTGACCTTTAACAGAAACAAAAAAATCAATTATGACGCAACTATAAACTATTAAAACGACAAAAATAGCTTTCTTCCTAAACAATGATTTTATTATTTGCATTGTCATAAACAAACT